GAGCCAGAAGAGTTTCAAGAGACAGGAGCGGGAAGGAAGGGAGGATTAAGATGCGCTTGGGGGGGGGGGGAGGGATCCCCACTGCCGGGCTGGAATTCTGGGAACTCTGCACACAAGCTGAGCATCAAGGAAGCACCACGCAGATCACCAGGGCTGGTCAGCTCTGCACCATGTCCACATGTCCCTCTGTGATGGCAGCAGGAACGTTCCGGGGAGTTCCTGCCCCAAAGGACAGCACCCGTCCTACCCAGGGGGCCAGGGGAAGACCCCGTCCCTGCATCTGCCCAGAATCTCCACCTCTGGGCCTGGAGAGGCTGCAAAGTGCTGAAGTTCTTGCCTAGACGGTAGTTTGATCTGCCTCCCCAGGAACACAGATGGTCCCTGAGCCCCACCCATGTCAGGGGAAAGCTCGAGCAGTGAACAGCGTGAGCAGCGAGGGGCATAGCTCTAAACCAACCCCCTCAAACCATTTCCAATTTAGCCCAAACATAAGACAGCCCCCAGCTGTGGCCTAACTGACTTTGATCCATCTCCCAGAAAGGCAAGGGCAGACGCGTCCCGGGTGGGCCGGCGGCTTGACACCCGTCTCGGGATGCTGTGGGGTCTGAACCCCTCTGTGCACGCCTGGGCTTTTCACCCCAGCATTTGTTTTCTTGGCCCTCTGACCTCAAACTATTTTTAAAGAAGGAAAGAATTTTTCTCTAGGTGACCGCCAGCCCGGCAAGGATCCCAGCTCAGGGCCCCACTCCAGGGCACACGCTGTCCCACTGTCCAGTCTCGGGCCCCTCTGCCAGGGGTCAGCTCCTTGATGGCAGACACGAGCCTGGAGGGTGCCAGGTCTGAAAAAGATGCCAATTCCTAGGCCAGTTTGGCCACCCCCATTTGGCCACCTGTACCCCATTCTTTCTGCACCCCAGTTGGTGCTGGCCAGCCCCAGGGTGGGCAGTATTTGGATTTGGCCCAGCTCAGCAGAGATAAGGGGTCACCTGGGGAAAGGTCAGAGATGGCACCAGAAATGCTTCCCCAGTCTAAGGCCATGGTTGGACACCAGCTGACGGGGACACAGTCCTGAGCAGGGACTGTCCACTTCTGAGTGAGTGAGCATATATCGTAGGCTTTTAAGAATGGCGACAACCCCGTGCCAGGTTGTTTCACTCGGGGAACCCCAGAGGGGGCAGGGGAGAGCCCTTCCCACCCCAAGGGACCCAGCCCCAGCAGCTGAAAACCTCCAGAACTCAACCGCCGCCACACTCACAGCCGCTCTCCACACACTCGGGCTGACCCTCATCCACAAGTACACCTATTCCTGGACTGCGCAGCCACATTCGAGGCCACACAACTCTTCATACCACACACCCTACCCAAAGTCCAAGAGTACCGCACCATATTTTGATGGAGTTCAAAGTAGGAGGCAATCAATCTTACAGGGAAATATTTTTTTTACAAATATATATATATATATATATATAAATAAAATCACCCAAGGCACAAATTTTAACAACATTTTCCGCAGTTTTTTCATAACCAACAATACAAAATATATGATTTCGGTTCTGCTTTGGGACAGGGATTGGGGTTTGGGATGGAAACATCCCAAATATGGTGGTGGGAAGGTGTAAGGTGGTGGAATTGGTGTTTGAGTATTAAATGTAATGAAACATTGTGAACTAATTTATAAAATTTTTTAAAATTATTAAAAAAAAAAGAATGGTGACAACCCCACTCCCCCCCCCCAAAAAAAAAACTCCAACTGTCTTGGAGTCTAGGGTAATCCAGAAGCTGATTGGGTCAGAGAGGCAGCACCAGATTAAGGTCATGCATGCAGCTAAGCCTGTTGATCCTGGGCACCTCCTGTGGCCCGACCTTTGCAATGCATGATCCCTGGGCACAGAGCTAGAAGGCCCTGAGCTGTGCTAGGTGTGGCCCAAAAAATACCCTCCCCCCCGATAAAAATGAATTATTGAGTACTAATGATGGGCCATGCAAGGTTCTAGACCTTGGCAAGTAAAAACTGAGGCACTCAGAAAACATCGGCCACAGCTGCCCCTTTAAAACTTTTTATTTGGGGGCCAGCAGGGAGGGCATTTGACTTGCACGCTGCCAACCTGACCCGGGCTCAATCCCCAGCATCCTGTAGGGTCCCCTGAGCACCGCCAGGAGTAATTCTTGAGCCCAGAGCCAGGAGTCACCCCTGAGCATCTCTGGGTATGGTCAAAAAAAAATTTTTTTTAAAGACCTTTTCATTAGACCTGACTTCCCCGCCAATAACAAAAGCTTGCCCAGAACAGCATAAACTGGAAAGACGAAAGCAGAACTAGGGGACCCAGGTCAGCATGGAGCAGGCAGGGTTCTTGCTTGCACTTGGCTGGCCAGAGTTGGATCCTGGGCACCAAATATAGTCCCGCCAGGAGTGATCCTTGAGCACCGAGCCAGGAGCAAGGCCTGAGCACAGCCAGACACAGACTCCCCTCCAAAACCACACAAGAAGAAGGACAAGAAGGGGAGAGAGCTGCGGAGTGCCTGGCTGGAGTGGGTGCTCATGGCTGGTGGGTGCCGTCCTGCATTCTGGGCATGCCTGCCTCCTCCCCTCCCCCCCCCCACCGCCCCCAGCCAGCCCCGGGGCCACCAGGAAGCCTTGTAGCTCCTGAGAACAGGGCTGGAAATTAAGGTCCAGTCTTTCCCCCTCATTTCCTACACCACAAAGGGCCGTGGACTCTGCAAAGCACCACCAGTGGGCCTTGAAGCCCATGATCTTGAGGTTGGCCAGAGGCAAGAGTGCCTTGGGGCACCTCCACCCCCCAACCCTGCTCAAACTCAGGCTGCTGGGAACCCTGCGCCCCCTCCTCCCTGTCTCTGGCCTCGGGAGTCTCTGCCCTGCAGCTGTCCCCACTCTCTCTGTCCCATCTTCAGGATTCTCAATGGCGAGATCCTTAAAAGGCAACGGGGCAAAGGGCTGGCTCTTCCCCCACCGGGCCCCGCCCCTCCCTTAGGCTGTCGGATCATTCCCTCCTGCCTAGGATGTGAATCGGGCTCCAGGGATGTGTCTCAGGGGAAGAGGGCTGCCTGGCATGCGCTAAAGCCACGAGTTCGAGCCTCAGCAACACAACCAGGGTGGGCCCCTCCGACACTGCAAGAACAGGGAAAGGGAGAGGCTGTGGGACCCTGGTCTTTTTTACCCCAAGAATGGGGGGTTGGTTAAAGAGCTGCCCTGGGCTAACCCTGGCCACTGGCTCTGAGCCCCAGCCCACCCCTACCTCCCACATCTCCAGCAAAGAAGGGGAACTATGCTTCGCCGGGGGGGGGGGGGGGGGGGGGGGGGGGGGGGGGGGGGGGGGGGGGGGGGGGGGGGTGGAGTTTTCCATAACTTGATCCTGGAACCACATTCTTCCACTGCCGGACTCCTAGTGCGGACCCCGCTGGCAGGCGGCAGGCGAGAGGAAAGAATGTCACTGGCACACCTGGAACTCAGGGCAGGGAAAACTCCAGGCGATGACGTGACTCCCAGGGCGGGTACCTTTCAGCCTCCTAAACTAACCTTCCCCCCCCCCCCCCAGCTGGGCCCCTACTTCCATTTCCAACAGTTCCTTTCTCTGCCAAAAAACAAGCCAGCGAGAGGGGAAGAAAATAACATCATAAAACCTTCAGATGCCCACACCCACAGGAAATATTTGGCCAATTCTCTAACAACCCAAGGTGCAGAAAGGTTGCAAAATGAGTTCATTCTCCAAACCTCTGAGGGTGGGAGGGAAAGTGGGTCACAGAAATCTCACCTGGGCTGGGCCTGGACTCAGGGGGGTTCAGCGTGGGGGGGGGGTCTCACCTCTGACTTCCTGCCACATCCCACGAAGAAACCCCCCTCGAAAAAGAGGTACAGTGTGACTCAGAAATCACTCCAGCCGCAGACAGTCTCAAACAAGAAGTGCGGCACCTGCCAATCTGCCACAAGCCTGGAACCTAAACTCTGCTCACACCCCACCCCCAATTCACCGGTGGGCTCCCCCCGCCGTCGCGCCCAGGGGCTGGGCCCAGACCCCGGAAAGGAAACGCGCCCCACGCGGGGCAGCAGGCTCAGACTCCCGAGGGGCCCGGGCGAGGGCGCAGCTGGAGGAGGGAAGGAAAACCCCGGCCGCTCCCCGCCCGGCCACTCCCACCCGCCCGCGACGCCCAGCAGGGCCCGGGGCGCGCGCACGCAGGCGGGGCCCCCCCGCCACCACCCACGCACGCACGCACCCCCGCGCCACCTGCGCGGCCGCGGCCTCGCGCGCGCTTCTGCCGAAAGGCCGTTTCCCTGCGCCCCGCGGCGGCGGCCAAGGTGCGGGCCACATCCTCTGCCCGCGAGAGCGCGGACTCTGCGACTTCCCCCTGACGGGGGTCGCGGAAGGAAGCTCTCCGCGGGGGCCGGCCCCAACCCGCCGTCTGGGCGCCCCCTGCTGCGCCCTGCTCCGCCCCCCTGGACCCCCGCTCCACCCCTGCTCCCGCTCGCGCTCTCCTGCTCTCCCTGCTCCCTCCTCCCCCCCGCTCCCCACCTGCTCCTCCCGGCACCGCCTGCAACTCCCTCCCCTCTCGCACCTCCCTGCTCCCCCGGCACCCCTCCCCGCTCCCCACCTGCTCCTCCTGCTCCTCCCGGCACCGCCTGCAACTCCCTCCCCTCTCGCACCTCCCTGCTCCCCCGGCACCCCTCCCCGCTCCCCACCTGCTCCCCGGCACCCCTCCCCGCTCCCCACCTGCTCCCCGGCACCCCTCCTGCTCCCCTCCCGCTGCCCTCCGGGACGAGCCCGTCTCCCGGGGTCCAGCTCCCCGGCCAGCAGCTGGCCCGCCGCCAGGCCCTCCAGGGAGGCGTCCCCCAAGGCGGCCCGACGCCCCGACGCGGACACGCTGCCCGCACCCCCGGCCCCCGGGGCGCGCGGCTCTCCCAGCCCTGGGGATCCCTGCTGGGGTGCCCCCCGCCCCCCCCGCAACGCCGACCCTGAGCCCCGGGCAGCAGCGGCGGCGACGCCCACCTGCAGCTGGGGCTCGAGGCCGCTCCCGCGCCGCCGGGGGGCTCCTGGGCGCTGCCATGCCGACCGTCCGTCCGCGGCGCCCAAGGACTTCGCGGCGGCCGCCGGCCCGCGCCTCGACTCGCGGCCAGCCCGCGGGGCGCGGGGCGGGGACGACGGGCCACGCGCCGCCCACACGCCGAGTGACACACCGCACGGCCAATGGAAGGGAGCCGGGCGCGGTGGGCGGGGGCCGGGGGCGGGGCCTCCCGGGGACGGGACCCCGGCGTGGGCTGCGCCGGGCGCGGGGCGGCCCTGGGGATGCCGGAAGTGGCGCCGTCCCCCGGGACCCCCGGGCTTCCCGGCGCCTCGGGCACGCCCGGGCGCTCCCTGCCGCGGTCCTCGGGGACGCGAGCCCGGAGCCCCGGAGGGGGGCCGCGCGGGGCGAGCGATGGGGGAGCCTGGCGACCCTCGAGGGTCGGGCAGGTGCCGGCCCCGCCGCGCGTCGCGCCTGGCACTGCCCGCCCGGCCCCGCGCTCCCTCGAGTCTGCAGGGCGCAGGGTGCTCCCCGCCCGCGGTCGGCGGCCCGCGCTGCAGCTCACGGCCGGCTTAGCCTGCGCGTCACGGGCAAAATGAACCCGCTGATAACGCGGTTTATCGGAGGGGGGAGAGTGGGAGTGGAATACGCAGCTGCAGAAAGGCGCCCGCCCTGGGCTCTCGGTTTCCTGATCAGATGGGACAGCGCTCTTTTTTCTCCTTTTCAGAAGAAAGGGGAACAGGCTGAAAACTCTGCTCAACACTTCCTCTTTCTCCAATAGACACAATTCCAGGCGCAAGTGGGCGTGCGCGGTCGGAGAGTTTGGCACCTTCGACACAGAAATTCCATTGAGTTAAGGAACATGGAGAATTTTTGGAGGTTCCAGTGAACAGAGTAACGTGTGCACGGGATGAAATCCGTCCCCCTTCCCCCTTTTTCGGAGTCTCAGAGCAGATTAAGGGGGGAGGTCTCTGAACACCTGTTGTAGGCTAATAGAAATGGATTTTATGCCAAGGGGCGCTGATAAGTGACTCGAGATGCCCTGGTAAAACCTTAACACTTGTTTCTCATTCACTCCTCCTTACTGCCCATGGGGGCGGGGTGTCATTACCATTTCCAGGCGGGGTTCTGTTATGACTAGTCAGAGTCTGAACCTGGGTCTCATTTCTCCAGTCACGCACCATCTTGCCACCCCATGATTCACAGCCGACAAAAGAAAAATGTTCCCCAACTCTGGGTGCATGTTTGGAAACAGTTCTTTTATCCAAATCAGATTTCGGACAGGTCGTTTTTCTACAGCTATAAACCATGACTTGCGTGTACAGAGATATTTACTTGCAAACTAAATGACTTAAAATTACTGTGCCTCGTAAAGCCCAAACAAGATTATGAGCCACGATGAGTACAGATTGTCTCTCCTAGAAGCCGAAAATACCGGAGCTAATTTCTTGTGGCATAATAAAATAAAATTTGCTCAAGTCCTTTAACCGCAGAACCGGTGAGTCAGCCACGCTCTCCCACACGATCGTGTTCGTGACCACAGCCATTTCCACTCAGCCTGTCCTTCCCCTGAGCTCGTGTTAGGGATTCCGGGGCTTCTTGTGGTTTGCTGAAACGTTCCTTGCTACTCTAAACATCTCTGAGAGATTTCTTGGTGTGGTGCATGAAGCTAGATTGCTATCTGCTATCCACATGGTTTTACACATGTTATGAAACTCCTTTGTACTTCAGTTTTTTCGTCTGTAAAATGGGACGCATAAAACCATCTTCATCACGAGGGTATTCCATGGTTAAATATGCGCAAAACTCTTCGAGTGACGCTTATCCATAAGAGACTATAAAGATGAAAAGATGAGTCCAGTAAAAGTCATGAATGCATATAGATGTCTCTCTCTCTCCCTCTCCCTCTCTCCTTCTCTCTCTCCCTCTTCGTCTCTCCCTCTCCCCCTCCCTCTCTCCCTCTCTCTCTCCTTCCCTCCCTCCCTTCCTTTCTCTCTCTCCCTCTCTCTCTTTCTCCCTCCTTCCCTCTCTCTCTCTCCTTTTCCTGTTAGTCTTTAGGCTACACCCAGCTCAGTGCTCAGGGATCCTCCTGGTGGTGCTCCTGGGACCGCTATCTGAGGAACAAACATGGGCTGCCCATATATAAGATATGTGCTCCAGTCCTTTGTGTCATCTACCCAGACCCTCACATAGATATTTCTGATTCTTTTTCTGGGCTATCCTTGTGTGTTTCATTACATGTCTTGATAATTTTGAGGTTATTGACTTTAAAAAATACTAGGTTAGGGGTCTCTCTGAGGACAGGAATCCAGCCTAGAATTCGTAGTGCCTAGCTCTCAGCTCGAATATTTATGAGTATGTATTTAAAGAGTGTTTAGGGAGGCTATCTAAAGATTTCACTTAACAAAGACTTCAGCGCAGTGACCTCAGCTGAAATATTGACAGAAATCACTGCACTGACCTTAAAAACTGACATTAAAACAGCTTCAGACAAAGGCAATGCTGTATGTGGGGCCCAGAAGTGAATGTGTTGGGAGAGATTTTATCCTAAGCAAGAATGAGTGAACAGGGGTTATGATTGCTCCAGTTAGTCGATACACAGAAGTTTCTCCTGGCTTCACACTCAGGGATTACTCCTGGCGGTGCTCGGGGGACCATATGGGATGCTGGGAATCGAACCTGGGTCGGCCGCGTGCAAGGCAAACGCCCTACCTACTGTGCTATCGCTCCAGCACCACTCTCTCTCTAGTTTGTCTTGAGAATCATCGGTATGTTCCAAATAGAGGAAGGGAGGGAAGGAGGAAGGGAGAGAGGAGGGGAGGGAGGGAGGGAGGGACGGAGGGAGGAAGGAAGGAAGGAAGGAAGGAAGGAAGGAAGGAAGGAAGGAAGGAAGGAAGGAAGTTCAACCAGGTCCATAGCCCCTGACTATATTCTTTGAAATTTTTCTTTCATAAAGTTTTTTTTTGACCATTTGAACTCTGCCAAAGGAATGGGACCTTCCAGATGCACTGAAAACATTGCAAAAAAAAAAATCCACTCACCACCCCCCCCCCCCCCCCGCCGTTGGACTGACACATCTTTCATGTATGCAAGGATCACTCTTGTTCAGATCAACCTCAGGCTAGGAAAGCGGTCTGTTCTCAGTGGAACTCATCACCCTTGGGTAATAACAACCATCTCTATTTCTACAAAGAATTTCACTGGTTGTGGTGCTTGCTGGGGGTTGGCATGAAGTTCGATGCTCACACACCCTGGTTGCAATAAGGCAGAGATACTGCACCTTGCTATGGCTCCATGGTGGGACGCTAGTATTGCACTGGGCATGTGGGGCAGTGCCAAGGATTCAACTCTCGGTTTGACACTGCAGCGCACCCCTGGGCTCCTTCGGAGCAAGTTTTCTCTGCTCAAGTTGAAACTCCTCCCACCGAACCACACTCTGATTCCTTCTCCGCCAGCCCCTGTCTGTCGTCATTCCACTTCCTGCCTTTGGTTGCTCTCTGATTTCCGACTCCTCATGCAACTGGCATCCTGCAGTATTCTCCCGTTTGTGGCTAATTTTATTTCACTTGGTTCCTTGGGTCTTCAACATTTCTGCATGTTGTAGCGCAGGTTCCAAAGGGTCAAGAATATCTCATCGCCTTCGAGATGACATTTTGTTTACACACTCATTCATTAAACAGGAACTCAAAACGTGTTCCTTGGTCCGAGATCCTGTCCACTGTGCAGGTGACATGCGTCATCAAGCCATCACACGTTACATCTTTGCATCTACAAGTCCTGGGTCATTCTAAGAAATGCTTTTGGTACCAGGAGTACAAGAGAACCTCGAGGCTGGGCGTTGACAAGCGGTCAGCTGAGAGCCCGCAAAGGGAACCGAAAGACGCGGGGGTGGTGTGTGTGTGGAAAATGTCACGATTTTGTGGTGGTCCAGATCATAACATAGCATTTCCTTAATTTCCTTTTTAGCAAATTTGATGGCTTTTCTCTTCCCCAATTCCCTCCCGGCTTCCTGCCTGCGGTGACAGGAAGGGAGGAGCGCCCTCTCCCCCTTCCCTTGCATTTCTGGGCCTTTCTCCTCAGGGGTCTGACTCAGTCTCTGCTCACACCTTCCATGCCCCGGAAGTGATTGTGAATGTCTGATTTAGCACCCCCGCTTGGCCACCCTGCCATCCACCCCCAACTGTTCTCAGTGCTCCTGGGGTGCTAGGAGCGAACTGTCCCAGATCTTGCCTTATTCCACACCTGACTTGTGAGCCACTGAGGCCAGGGACCGAATGTTCTCTCCCCGGGGGTTCTGGTGGACACTGATGCTTGAGCATGGACTGAATCCAGGGTTGATGCTTGACTCGCGTGGGATCACCAGCTGCTTTCCTCCTCATCCCCAGGTGCAGTGAATCCACCTATTTCTTTTTTTTTTCCCTCCTCCTGGGCTGAGTCCACTGAGGACCCTCTGAAGAACCCATCCGCCACTTCCTTCTTCCTGCCTGCCTTTTTCAAAGCCTGGGGGGCAGCAGGCGCCTCGCCCCTGCCCTGTAAAGCATGCATGTGAAAAGATCACTTTGCTGTATGTTCTGACAATGGCTACCTGGAGCCGGAAATCCCGAGACCAATGCATGTAAAGAGAGAAAGGTGAAGGGTCACCGCACCGTTGGTTCAGACCTTCCCGTATTCCAGACCCGTGTCGACTGCAGAGAAGAACAAAGCCATACGCTGGAAGTGGAAGCCTTTTGGAAATGTTGCAGGTTACTAGGAAAACAGATGAAAAAGAGCATTTGAATGAGTGAATGCCCAAGGCTGGCATTGGGTGTAAGACTAGTTTTGTGAGCACATTGGTCATCCCTTCCACCCCCAAACAAACAGAAGAATGAAAAAGGACATAGAAAAGCAAAGAATGAGCTGTGGGAAAACTGGACAACATGTTTTTGGATGAGGAAAGGATAATGCAGAAGGGACAGGTGAGAAAGGGGAAAAGATGTTCCCCCTAACTTTCAAAAACCAGGTATTCAGGGTCAGAGAGGTAGAACAACGGGGGGGGGGGGCACCTGATTTGCATGTGGCAAATCCTGATTTGATCCCTGGCACCCCATA